ACCTCTCTTCCATCCCACACCAAGGTTTGGTCACTACTCTCTCCATTGAACAAACCAGAGCTTTAAAACACATGTTTGTGTATATTGAGAGGCCAAAACCTTTCTCCCAGGGTGTTCCAGTGCAGCCTCCCTGGGGGATCTTGGCTCTGGGCACAAGTTGACCCTCCTGGGCACTTTCCCAGAGCTGCCCTCTGGGTCATTCTAATGTAAGCCCAGGTGGGGGCCTGAGCCCCCCAAGAGTCACAGAGCACACTCTGGGCAGAGTTCCATTTCTGACAAAGCCATGGAGCCCTGAGGACTCAGGAAGGCCTGCCCCATGTAATGAGGCACAGCTGTGTCCCTGCAGCCTGCCCTGCTTTACCCACTCCATCCAGTTCAATGACTTTTATTTTTGAGACACAGTCTAACTTTGTCACCTGTGGTAGGGTGCTGTAGAGTCATGGCTCACAGCAACCCCAAACTCTTGGGCTTAAGTGATCCTCTTGCCTCAGCCTCCTGAGTAACTGGGACTACAGGCACCTGCCACATTACCTGGCTATATATATATATATATTTTTTTTTTCCTAATTAAAAATTACTCATTGGCTTTTCTTATTGTTTAAATCAGTAATGCTCATTACAGAAAAATAGCATGTCAAAAGATTTTTATAAGTAACCATAACACAAAGATCAACAGATAACCAGTATATATATATATATGTATATATATTTTTTGTATATATACATATATGTATATATATGTATATATATATATATTTTTTTTTTTTTTTTTGAGACAGAGTCTCACTTTGTTGCCCTTGATAGAGTGCCCTGGTGTCACAGCTAACAGCAACCTCAAACTCTCAAGTGATCCTCTTGCCTGAGCCTCTCACGCAGCTGGGACTATAGACATCCTCCACAATGCCCAGCTATTTTTTAGAGATGGGGTCTCCTTCTTGCTTAGACTGGTCTTAAACTCCTGAGCTCAGGTAATCCACCTGTCTCAGCCTCCCAAAGTGCTGAGATTATAGGCATGAGCCACCACACCCAGCGACCCCGGCTATTTTTGAGATGGGATCTCGCACTTGCTCAGGCTGGTCTCCAACTCCTGAGCTCAAGGGATCCGCCCACCTCGGCCTCCCAGAGTGCTAGAATTACAGGCGTGAGCCTCTGTACCCAGCATTGGCTATTTTCTTAATAAGAGGTTTGGGATTCAGTGCAGAGTGGGAGGCCTGAGCACCAGAGGGGGTCTTGTCTTTCCTGTTTCCCTTCTGTGTCACTGAGACCACATCCTCAGTGGGAAGTGAGTCTCATCACATGGCCCATCTGTGCTCACCGCTGGCCAGAAGTATCATGAACGAGCCTGAGTGCATTCCACAGGCTGCAGATGATTCAGCTTTGTGGAGCTGGGAGCAGAGGTGAGGCCTGCAGGGATCCGGGGGCAGCACAGGAAGATGGACTTGTGGGGTGGAACTGGGCCCAGGAGACCTGCAGCAGTGTTCCAGGGCCGGCAACCTGACCCTAATAAGGAAGAGGACAAACATCTGGATAGTGCCTGCTGTTCTCCCAGTGACCAGCAAGGACACGTGCCTGAGGGGGCTCTCCACGGAGGACACACTTAGGATCCCAGGAGACCTTGATAGTAGCCATGCACCCAGGACCTTAATCAGCTCACAGAGAGTAGAGAAGCAGAACAGGCGGGATAGTCAGAGGCTCCAGAATACCAGGCAGGGGCCATGTGCCTCACCCAGGCACAGCCTCGAGTCCCCATGATGAGCTCGTCCAGCCTTCTGTGAGTCTCAGACACATTCAGAGGGCCCTGATATGAAGGCCACCATATGTGACACTGCACATGAAATACCCAGATCAAGAAAGTCCACAAGGACAGGCCAGTGCCCTAGGCTGGGAGGGTGGAGGGTGGAGGGCACACTCATGAATGTGCCCACCCCAACCAAGCTGCACCCCAAGGAGGAGACTTCCATGTTATGTGTGTTATACACCAAGCCCAGCTCTAGTGACAGAGCCTCAGGGCCCTGGAAGGGTGGGCTGAGGCACAATGGGGAAATGGGCCAGGCCCAGAGCCCCCAAACACTGCCTCTCTCATCCCTAGGCCAAGTCTGCAGGCCAAGCCCCCTCCTCCCTGTCCCTGGCTAGGGCAGGTGGCCCCAGTGGGCTGCGGAAGTTCTGGTGGGCAGTCGCCACCCCTCCCAGGGAGCCCTCAGAGCTGGATGCCGGGCTGGAGGAGGTCTAGCTGTCCTCTCTCTTCTCACGTGCACCCCTCCCAGCAGGTGGTGGGTAAGGCCTGGGAATCCTCCAGAACATCTGTGTAAACAGTGTGGGAGATGCACACACTCACATCACAGCCCTCCCAAAGGAAGAAGCAGATGGAATAGAATGGGCCCACCCAGAGACACCTCTGGAGTCACACATGGGCAGAGGAGAGGGTGGTCTGGCAGCACACCTGGCATTTGAGTGCACATGGTCACTCTCAACTCCATGGTACACTGTGCCCTAAAGGCCAACTGCCCCGTGTGCCTGAGTGGACCCAGCCTGTGAGTCCAAGGTTTTCCTCTGCCCACTGGGTAGGTGCTAATGCAGCACAGCTTCCCTGGGAGGGGGGTGTCAAGCCAGAGCAGAGCCAAAGCCCTGGACCCAGTATGGGGCTAGAGAGCACACATACCCTACTTCTCCAGGCCTGAAAGGAAAGTTGGTGCCTGGGCCAGGCCTCCTGGGGACACCCAGAGCCCCACAGTGATAAGCCCCCTCAAGGTCCAGCTCTGTCTCCTCCCTAGTCTGTGCTGACTGTGTCACCTGTCCAGGAAATCGGGATAGGAAGCCCACCAGGGTGTAGACCCCAGGATTGGGCTGATGCTGAGGGAGTCGAGGCCCTGGGCCCATCAAGCCTGGGAAGGTCCTCTCTGTGTAAAGTGAGGCCACAGAGGTGGCTGGTCAAATCCTCATCCTTACCTGCCTCACCATTACAATCCCTGCCAAGTGCTTTCTGAACAAGTGAGGTTGTTTTGAAGCCTCTGTCTCAGAGGTCAAAGTGCACACACCCCCAGTTCTGTGTTTAGGGGGCTGAACCCTTTCCGGCTGCGCCAGTGACTCAAACTATCATTACTTTTTTAAAGTAACATGATGATTTGCCTTTTGGTGAAGCTTATTGAAACCAGTTAGGTTCATTTGGAGAAGAAGCAAGCAGAACTGGCCATTGCAGCCTGAGGGCCGCTGAGGCTAGGCCAGTCAGGATTATGGCCCCACGGGTGGACACTGTGCCAGGGCTATAAAAGCAGCCAGTAGGCCAATTAATACCCCAGCTACAGTGACCATGATGCTCAAGGAGACTCACATTCCTCCTGAGGCTGTGTGTCCCTATGTCTCTGGTGTGGCAGCTCTACACTTTCGACTATAAGGAACAGGTGGGGGCCTGGGTTGAGACACATCAATGGAGCCTAGGCTGAAGGATGGTCCTGGGGAGGCTCAAGCCCCTGCCTGCTGCCTCCCCCCACCAGCAGGGATCCTGGATCATGGGTCCAGAGGCCACCCACCTGTATGGGGCTGGTCTGGTGAGAAGCTACCCTGGCCTCGGGGGGGTGCCTATGTCAGAGGCCCTGAGAGAAGGAGACCTTTGAGCCCAAGGCCCCGCCCAGATTAGAAACCAAGAGACTGGCTATGCCACCTGACCTGCAGTTCACTTGTGTCTCTGCACGTCCTTGACAGCATCCTATGTGGGGGCTGTAGCTCTGTGGCCCTTCCTTGGATGACAGGGAAGTAAACTGGCATGCATCTAGAAAGTAGGGGATTACTCGGGGCTGGAAAGATGAGTGATAGAGCCATGAGAGGACACGGAGGAACCTCAAATGCTAATTGCCACACTCTCTGCGTCACCCCTCTATGACATTCTGGAAAAGGCAGAGCTGTGGAGACTGGAAAATCAGTGACTGCTGGGGGCTCAGGAAGGGAATGAACAGGCGGAGCACATGGAACTTTCAGGATAGTGAAACAGTTCTGTGTGATACCCCAGCAGAGGACACATGGCACTGTACACTTGTCCAAACCCAGACAATGCGCAACTCCAAGAGGGAACCCTCATGTGAACGATGGATGTCCACTAAAGACAGTGTTAACCATACAACCAAGACACAGTGGCACCCTCGAAAACACATCCTCAGAAGGACCAGAGCGTGAATGCTCATAGCAGGCTCTCAGCCAAAAACACTGGAAACAACCCCAGGGTCCAAGTTGAAATCTGTGCAGTCCATGGAGTGTGAGTTATGCCTCCATGAAAACACAAATAAATCAAAAAATTTAAAAATCCTTTCATCCATGATGACTAGATGACAACATCTACAGGGAAAAGCAAAAAAGACCTGAGACTGGCCAAGACCCTGTGGAGAATGCGTGGTAGTGCCCCTGCCCTAGGAGGTGCCGTTTGGTGTGGGGGCTGTAGGGCAGGATGGCAGGAGACCTGCATAGCACAGAGGGCCTGGGGCCCCAGAGCCATTTGCTGGAGCAGTGAGCCCATCGGACATGTGGAAGGGAACTTCTGGGACTTGAGAACCATCAGGACAGGATACCATGGGGAGTGTCCCTACTAGGCATGTCTGACACTTCCTGCCTGCTAAGCCCTCAGACCTGGCTACTGCCTGGTCCTGCCATAGATGAACTGTCTTGGGAGTGGCCAGGGCCTGCTGGGAAGGAGACTCTAAGCATCCAGCCCAGGTGGGCTGCAGTGGGCCGCAGGAGGCTGGGGCTGGTGAGGCTGCTCCCCAGGGAGAGGTTATGACACCCCAGGATGCACTTGAGAGGGGTCTTTGACACCACAGGCAGGGACCAGTAGCACCCCAGGGTACCTCTGGAGGTGCCTGTGACATCAGACCATGCCACCCAAGTGGGCTTGTGATATCTCACTGTGCCACCTGGAGTGGCCTGTGACTCCCCAGGGTTCCCCCTGGCAGGGCCTGTGACTCCAAAGGACCTCCCCCCATGATGAGGTGGCCAGGTCCAAGGACCCCACTAACCTGGAACAGGATCTGCAGTACCCCATGCAGGATGCACATGCGACGGCCCAGGAAGACGAAGAAGGGCACCACAAGCTCCAGGAAGTGGTTGCTGAGAGTCTCAAAGCGGTGGAACCACCAGGGCGACCTGTGCAGGTAATAGGCTACAGGGTTTGGGACTGGCTGGGTCTGTGGGAAGAGGAAGACCTGTTAGCAGGGCTAACCATCATGCAGGCTTCAGAGTGGGCAGGGCTCATGCCTCACCCGGCCCCACCCACTGGCCTCCCTGGCCTGGCCTTGCAGGTCCAAGAAGAGCAAAAAGCAAGTTCGTTGTCTTTGTTTTAAAACCTTTACCAACTAAAGGCAAAGATAGAATTGAGGAGACACGATACAAAGCTGAGGACACGTGCAACCTGGGGGACATGTTGCCCTGCGGCTGCAGGGGCCGTGCTGTGAGCCCCAGAGACCACTGCTGAGCTGGGCCCAGCAGGATGCCCCATCTGCTCTCTGCCTGTCCTGCAGTCACCTAGCCCCAGCCTGCCCAAGGGAGACAGCACACGGGGCTCTGAGAAGCAGCCTCTATGGACCAGGGCCCTTTTGCCTTCTCCAGGGGAAGGTCCCTGAAAGCTAGTCCCTGAGGCAGGGCACCAGGAGGCAAGGGCCATTCACTTGCAGCCTGGAGATGAGCAGGAGGTGCAGACAGGCAGGGGTGTGGTCCAGGGTGAAGCAGGCAGCTCCTGAGTCCCACTCAGGAGTCTGGTGAGAGACAGGGAGGGGCCTTGCCTCATGCTAAGTTCCCACTATGGGGCAGACATGTCCCCAGTGGGAACACCTGGGAGACCTGGCTGGCCACATGCTGTCCCCCAGAAACCCCTACAGTACAGATGTGTCTCCAGCAGAACACCTGAGACACCTGGCCTGGGAATGACTGCTTGCTGTCCCCTGATGCCCCATGCTGTCCCTGGCTGATAAGAGAGAAGCAAAGGACTTAGCACTCACTGGCAGAACAGCCATGTTCTGCTGAGCCCTTTCAGAAAAAGCCAGTTGAGGTCCTGTGTGTCCCATGGGCTTGACTGCTCAGATGACACTAGGGGACCCCAAATAAATGGGGAAAAGAAAGGAGAGTGTTGGCAGCAGAGAGAAGAGGGGCTTCCGCCAGGGCTTCTGGTAAGAGCCATTCCTTTGGGATTTGGCCCCGGGGATGGCCTGCCTGGTCTTCAGGAGTGTGGAATGCCCCACCACCCCCATGAGGTGCCCCACATGTGCTTCCCCAGGGAGCCCCTGCTACTTGTAGATGGGTATGAAAGTAAGAAAAATAAACAGAGGGCTAAGGGGAGAGGAGCCAAGATCTTTATTGGATTAGGCTGCACGGAGTGATGCTCTGAAGGAGGAGGTGGGGAAGGTGGGCTCAACCTCTTTCAAGTTCTCTCCAACAGAAATGAACAAACTGGCCAGCAGCGGGCAACGTCAAAGGTGGGCAGGACCGGGTGGTGCCTGTGGCTCAGTGAGTAGGGTGTTAGCCCCATATACCCAAGGTGGTGAGTTCAAACCTAGCCCTGGCCAAAATGCATGAACAAAAAAAAAAAAAAATAAATAAATAAAATAAAATTAAAAAAAAAGGTGGGCAGGACCGAGGCCCTGCACCCCCTGCACATTCTTCTGTCCACTGGCCAAGGAGTATCTGTGTTTCCCCTTGGGGGCCCCCCAACATGGGTGCTGTTATTTTTTGCTTTTCTTAAGTTTAGCTGCCTGTTTCTTTGGTTGGGGGAGGGTCCAGGAATCATAGCATCTCATTCCCCATTGCTGGGTAAGGTAGTGTTTTCCCATCACATGGAAAGTTTGTGTTCCTGACCGGTGACATTTGTGGGAAGGAGACACAATCCTGAGGACTTGAGGGACTGACACCCCAACTTGTGGTGCTGCTGGTGACCACAACACAGATTCTGGGCCCTGAACAGATGGCCTGATGAGGGGGCAGCTGGAGAAGGGGGAGGAAGGGCTGCCACACCTGTGGGGACTTGGAGGCCATGGGGGTACATGAAGCTTCTGAATAGGGGCCCCAATTTAGTAAGTTGGGAATAGCTACTGAAATATCAATATTTCAAACTTTCAGCTCACAAATGAAGTGCCACAATCAAACAAGACATATGTAGACGGCTGCAACAGCCAAGGTGAGGCCCTGAGCCCAGGAGCCCCTGTGGTGCTTCACTGCATCAGTAAAATGAGAATAAATACTTCACCAAGTATAAGCATGGTGCTGTTGCAAGAAAGTTTCCACTTCCAGAGGGGTATGACCTCCCAGAGGAGCACTGAGGTCCATCCTGGGCTGATAGTCCTCCTGTGTCTGCTGGGGTCTGCCCTGTGCATAGACCCCTCCAGGCACAGGGCCCTGGTGTGCCCTAAGGGCCATAGGGCTGGGGTGGGTCCCACATGCTCCCTGCTCTTGCAAACCCAGGGACAGATTTTCATTTTTGTTTGTACTAAGGCTAGAAAAAACTGCCATGACATAAAACTTAGTCATAAACTGTTGAGATGGGGTGGCAAGGCTATACCCTATAAAGCAGAGTCTGGGAGCTCCTGTGCTGCTGACATTATAGTGGCCTGCGCTAGGACACTTAGCCATGGCTCGTTAGAGGATGATGACGATGTGTTGGAGCCTGAACCAGTCTCAGACATTAGGTAACATTTTATAAATTTGTCTCCCCACAAAAGACAATGCTAAATAAGAAAAACATGAGGAAAATAGGAAGGGTGATGACAACCAGTCAGGGATTTAGGAGGCAACAACTCTTGGGGGGGTGCATGTCTGTTGGGGTTAAGCTCTCTCTTTGCAATACCCTTCCCCCAGGCCCCACAGGAAAACGAGTCCAACTACAGAAATGTCTGACCCACCATTTTCCCATTTTAGACATAAACTATGTGTCTGAGCTTTAGTGAGAAAGAGAATGCGCACAATTCTTGTCTGCAGAGTAAGCTTCTTAAAACGTTCAAGCTGCACAGATGCTTTTCAAGGAGATTCTGCACTAGCTGCTCCCTGCCTGAGGCCCAAGCAGGCACCATCCCAGAGCCCAGTGATGAGTGCCACAAGCTTCTCAGGACTTGCCAGAAATGTGAGTCTCCAAGGTGGGCCCATACCCAGAAGTCTAAATTCTTGGTCTGATTTTCAAGGTGGGGTGACCTTAATCTCTCCTCTTCCCTCATATATTGGAGCTACTGACACGTGTCCTAGGGGACCTGGGGTGTATATATGTTGGCAGAGCTCCTGATGGGGCAGGGAGGAGGCCACTGACATGTCTATTGAGGACCTTGGGGTGAGAAAGGAAACCTGCTGTGTTCTAGGAACAGACCAACAAGAGTCCTGTAATCATTGGCTCCTAGAGGTTTGAGGCCCAAAGCAGTGACTGCCACCAGCTCTCAGAACCTCACACCAGGATGGGGTGGAAGGCTCCTCCCTGCATAGTGCTCACCTCGAGAGCTCATGCTACCTTAGGCTGCTTCCCCTTTCCCACCAAGACACCTGGGAAACGGAATAAAAAGAAAAATGAATTATAAAGAGGGTGATAAATAACAATACACATAGGCCTGAGATGATCAAAACACTGTGTTAACAATAAAGTTAGAAAACTCAGGAGGCGCTACCAACTGCTTCTGCTCCTGTGTGCTTCCCATCTGACCCACGGAGAGAAGAGTCCAGTGGGTCTTCAATCCTAGTTGAACCTGGGACATGCTCTGGTTAAGAGAATGCTTTGCAAATGGTGTTCTAGAACTTCCAAGCACAGGCCTTTAAAAGACAACAGACTCAGCTTCCCTCCTTTGGAAGCCAGCATCCACATGGAAAGTTCCTCTACACTGACACCCCCATCCTGTGAGAAAGCCCAAGTTGGCCATGTGCCAAAGTCACAGGGCGAAGCACTAAGGTGAGAGTGAAGAGAGTGAAGAGAGTGAAGCTTTCTTGGACTTCCCAGCCTGGCCTGGCCATCAGCTAATGAGTGACCCCAATTAACACAGCACTGAGCAGAATAACCTCCCAGCTGAGCCCAGTCAGCTCACAGACTCAGGGGAATCACATTGTTTCAGGCACTAAGGTTCAATGGTGCATTATGCCACAGTAGATACCTGAAACAAAGCCTGAATATTGAAGCCAAATAAAGTATTAAATTCTGATTTTAGAGGGGAAACCACATTTTAGAGAAATCCAAGTACAAGCTTTCCTGATTCTTTGGGTAACAAATGCTTAGTGTTGACGGCACATACCATTTACCCCAGACAACGTTCAGCATCCACACCTGTGCACATTGATAGACATGGAAGAATTTCATGATGAATCCCAGAGTCATCTACCAGCTAACTCATCATCATCAAATTCTTTCTTTTCCTTTGAGTCTACTGCATATTTTAATACTTGTCTCTGAAAGTGGAAAATGAGATTGGGTATTCTTCCCACTTCTAGTTAATACAGCTAAACCTAGTAACAGTAATTGAAAAACACTTGCTCATGAGGTGGAAGTGCCTGGCAGTGAAGGAAAGGGAGTTGGCAGAAAGCCCACATGCACTCTCCTCCCAACACTGGTACTGACCTATGGAACAATCAACACGAACACACCAGGTCTGTCCCCCTCAGCAACTCAGCCACACCACTGGGACCTCATCTGCCTCAGAGCAATACAGAAAGGCCTTGATCAGATCCCAATTAGACCACATGGACACTTTGTCCTGTAGTAATTACTCCATAACACTGATTGCAGCACAGAGTTTTACAGATGAAACAATTCTCTAGGCTAAGCAAAGTCATGTTGCCCTGCTGGAAGCCCTGCACATCCCCCCTGATGTGCCAGCATGCTCCATGTGTCTGGTGCAGGGCCCTGTGCTCAGGAAAGTGGGCCTTTCACCATGGACCATCCTGGATGGGGGTCCAGGTGGGGTCTCTCCAGAGCCCAGATGCTGCAGGGCCGCCAGCTCTGATGGAGCACAGGCATCCACTTCCCCCACTCACACCATTCCATTTACAGCTTCTTGCTGACCTTGTCTTTTGCTGACTGCCAGATGACCCATGGGGAACAGCTGTGATGTAAGGCTACCCTTGTCTCCCTTGGGCTCATGGCATTCTCTCCATGCTTGACAGCTTGGCCTGAGCCATCCTCTAACTAGAGGCCAGCCCCGCCACATGCAGGGTGAGACACCCACATATA